TATTCTCTCTCGTTTGAAGAAAGATTTCTTGAGAATTGTAATGGTAATGGTAATGGTGGCTCTTTATGATTTTGAGTTTTACCAAATGGACATAAAGATCACCTTCTAAATAATACTTAAATGGAGATATACATGAACTAATTAAAAGTTTTGAGGTCACAAGAATGAAATGTTAGTGTGTAAGTTGAATAGATCGATATATTGACTAAAACAAGTCTATCGTCAATGGTATCTTAAGTTTAATGATACCATCACTGCTTATGGTTTTGTAGAGAATACCGTAGACCGGTGTATCTATATTATGGTCAGTGGGAGTAGATTTGTTATTTTAGTTCCGTATGTCGATGACATATTTATAGTTGCTAATAATGTGAACATGTTGCACGAATTAAAGTATTATCTCTCTGAAAATTATGAAATAAAGAATGTGGATGAAACGTGCTTGGTAATTGGAATAGAAATATTCTAGAATGTATCACTAGGACTAAAAGTTTATCCCATTAAAGTTTTATTTGAGAGGTAACGGATGGTTGTTCCGTATAATTTTAATTCATAGAAGGGGTACATTTAGTCTAAACTAAATATCCGAAAAGGTGAAATGGAATGAAAAGTGATGGAGAAAATTCCTTAGATATAAATGATTAGGAGTCTTAAGCGAGACGAACCTGTATTTGGTTTGATTACATATTTGTTGTTGTTACGTTAAGCAAATATAAAAGTAATCTCTAAATGATTATTTAAATGCTGCAAAGAAATTTTTAAAAGTATTTACAAGGCATTAAAGAACACATGCTATCGTAAAGAAGATCCAAATTATTCGTTATAATTGGATACTTGGATTCAGACTTTTTGTTCATAATGTTTAAAGGAGCAAGATTACTGAAAAGTGAAACAAAGTCCATCATCGTGACTTCCACTTAAGTTTGAGTTTGTGGTACACTTTGAGGCCACAAGTCAATATTTAGGCTACGATGCTTTATCTTAGGACTTGGAAATGTCGACATCTTGTCCAAGCCGCTAAGAATTATTGTAGTTTTGTAGCAATATTATTTCAAGGAATGACAAGTATTTAAAGGGTGTGAATCACATAAAATTGAAATACTTGGTCATAAAAGTAAAAGTGAAGAAACAAAGTGTCATTTGAGTATTTTAGTACTAATTTCATGAAAGTGGATCCATTAAAGGGTTATTCCCTGTAGCCTTTGCAAGGCATATAAAGAAAATTGGGATTAACGAATGGGGCCTTGTTGGACTGACCAATACTGAATGGAATTGCTCAATTATTGATTTGATACTTATTGAATTCAATTAAAGATGTTTGATTTTTCACATATAATACCATCATTATGGATATTCGATTTAGTATATACATTAAAGTTGATGGCTTATGGTTATGGTACGAATGGTTTGTTCCATATTAAAGTAAAGTTGAATTAGAAATGATTTGTGGTACATGGAAGGGATCATGTCGCTCGAAGACTTGTGACCGCCATGACTCGGTTAATTTCTATTTTGATTTTTCACTTATAGATATATGTATTTAATTATAAGTTTGATGGAAGGTGCGCGCTTAAAGTAATTCCTTGGGTTTCAATACTTATATAGTCCAAGTGGGAGAATGTAATAATATTTTATATATTATTCTATTATTGTGGACCATATAATTAGTTGGACCTAATTGAATTAATAGTCAAACTTTATTAAAGATGAATATGTATTTAATAGATTATTTAATGTTCTAATATTAAAGAGTCCAATGTGTGATGTTTGACTTGGACAGTAAGTTAGGTTAGAACATGGGAATGTTAGTAGGAATAGGATTGTAGGTCTCATCCTATATATATTACTACATGCCCCTCTCTCCCATCTCATACGAAATAAAGTTCTCAACATCAAGGGCTTTATGGAAAGACGAGAGACGAGGGAGAGAGAAACAATTAATTCATAGGCAAAGACGAATCTATTGTTGGAGATTACGAGACGAATCCATCATTGAAGATTACGAAAAAAAGATGATCGTAGATCAACATCATAGATGAACATGGAAGGACTATAGCTGGATTCTTGTAAGTTTCTATGTGCAATTTAATCTATGCAAAGATCCATGTTCTATGAATTAATAGAATTACATGCTTAGGGCTTATTCAATTCCGCTTAACAGTATATGAATATACCCGTTAAATTCTTACATTTAAACTCGGCCCGGAAATCGACCCGGGCAGGTCTCCGGGTCACCGGTTCAACCGTCGGGTCACCGGGTCAATTGCTGAACCGGATAATTAATTTTAAAATTTTTAAAATTATATATATAGTATTTTTGACATATAAATATACATAAAAATAACAAAAATAAATATTTTGTATACAAAATTTGTATATTTAAGTGTTAATAATATTAAATCTCACAATAAATATTTACTATGTAATTATATAAACATTGTTTTTATTTTTTATATAAAAAAGTATAAAAAAATAAAAAATTTATAACCCCGCCGGGTCAATGACTCGGATCGACCGGGTCAAGGCCGGGTTGACTGGGTTTAGCCAGGTTTGACCGGGTCCATTGTTACCCGGTCCAAATAGTTCACCCGGACCGATTTCGGCTTCGGGCCGACCGGGTCCCGGGTCGACCCGTCGGGCTGGTCCGGGTCACAAAACAGTGCATGAAATCCAAGTGATAGATACATTTAATAATTAGGCTAAATTGCAAAATATAGTCTATATCTTGTACGCAGTGACAATAATAGAAAAAAAAGACAATAATAGCCACAATCATTACGAATTTGCAATATTAGCCAACAATCCTTTAAATTTTGGGGTTCTTACCCAAGTTCGACCAAATGTGACTGCTAAATTGCAAAAGTTAGCCAGTATACTTTACACTGTGGCAATAACAACCGTCAAATTTGGTCGAACACGGGTATTAACCTCGAAATTTTAAAATTTATTGACTACTATTGTCAATTCATAAAGATGATGGCTATTATTATCGCTGCATACAAGATATAGGTTATATTTTACGATTAAACCTAATAACTATTAGAAGCCAAAAAGTGAAGAAACTAAAATGTATATATAGCTCGTTGTAAAATCGAATACCCGTAAGTTCGGTCATCAAGTCATTCCATTCTATTCCAACAAGAACACGCAGTGCATTCATAAAATCATCCACCAGCTCCCTGTGAAAAAAACAAGTAATATACGTTGTATAAGTATCGATCGATTACTAAATAAATCCATACATACGATTTATTCTACGAACAAAGTCGAGTGAATTTTTTTTTTTTAAGTATTGCTCACATACTCTTTGGGGTTGAATTCTGCTTTACCAAACCCAGTAGCTATCTGTTAAGAACAAAATTCTTTATCAAAAACTAGTACATGCATGCATGCATTTTAATGGGGAGAAGAACACTGATGGTATATTCTTACTTCACCAAGAAAGGCTTTAGCGGCCATGTTTCCGAGATCGGTGGTCATATGACTTAGATACGCAATCGGGCTCAACAAAGCGGCCGACTTAACCTTGTCTGTCAGTTTCCCTTCCGAGAGTGAGGCCAAAGCTATCAAAGTTCCCTGTAATTAATGTATCGATGACCGACCAAATTATCGCAAATATTATCTAGTTAATTAGGATTTCATAATATTGTTCGTGTAGTAATTAAAAGAATTATAAACTACTAATAGTTAAGTAATTATTTACCATTGAGTGGCCAATGTAGTGAATTTTCTGACTGGTTTGATTGAAGACAAAATCGATTACTGATGGTACGTCGTGGATCATCAGGTCGTCCCATGTCCAATCCCAAAATTCCTGTCCATGCTCATGCAATATTATATGATCTTGTTAAATTAATTTACCCATAATTTGATTATCATAATAACATATATATATATATATATGAAAAATGTCCGTTATGAAACCATTCTGTCGGGATTTGTAATTGTTAGATTAACTATCTCTGACGATTACATGATAATCTAACGGTTACAAACATTATGTCGGGGCAAAAATTCTATGGAGCAATCGGATTGTTTTCTTATGGAGCCATTCATTGCTTAATATATTGACACCTGTCCAAATTGTATTTATTGTAAGACACGTGTTAATACACTATTGGTGAATAAGTATGGATTGCTCCATAAGTCGAGCCATCCGATTGCTCCATAGCAAAACTGTATGTCGGGGTTTGTAACTGTTAGATCAACTATGTCTAACGGTTATATGATGATCTAATAATTACAAACTTCGACGTAATGATTAAGTTGTCTCACAGGATCATCATCAGGATCGAGTTGGAGATGGCGGCGGCTAAAGCGAGTTCCTCGAATGTTGGAAATCCAAACATCGAACCCATTATCAGCCAATATCATCGCTAGAGATTGTTCTGGTGAATTTAGAACCCACGTCATCCCATCCTGCATAACAAACAAACAAACAAACATTTATAAGGTATTTTATTATCGTGTATTAATTTTGAGCACGTCGGGATAATTTTAAGGTCATTATTTGAGTATATATAACTGAAAGAATTTTAAAATAAATATATCCTGACAAAGTGTAATTAATTAAATATAGAATGAAAATTTAGAAACCTACACATGACAAAGAGTTAAAATAAATATATTGTTTGATGAAATAAAATCAAGTTGCACAAAATTTTTATGATTTTCTTCATAGTTTATTGTTACACATACTTTCTATTCATCAAATAAAACTAGTCGACACAAACGGTGTATTCCTTTGAAGTTTCTGAAAGAGTTTTGAAGATTTTAGAAATCATGGTGTATATAATTCAAAGTTTTTAATACTTTTATAAGTCTTGAGTTATTTATTTGAAATTTTAAAAAGTCATAAGAAATCACGAGGTATTTAACGTTTTTAGACTAAAATTTGTTATTACTTTTTAGAATTTGTTCGACGAGAGATTTTGAAAAGAGAAAAAGTCATATACAAAATATCACTCAAAATATTCCATCTCCAAGTATAAGGTTTTGTTAGATTCCTCTCAAATTCGAACATCGTCTAAAATCTCAAAGAGTTTCAAAATATCATTCAAAATTCTCAAACGAATACACCCTAACTTGTTTGGAGACTTCTTTCTATATATAATCATTCTGTTTTCGAAGCCAAGAAACAAAGCTAATCACGAATAAGTTAAATCCTTCCGCTAATTGGAATTTCCCAACAAAAATAAGTATAGATGCTATCAAATACCATTATTCTCCCCATAAGTTATTTATTAGATTGTCTATTGGTTAATCAATCACACAAATAATCAAAGTTTTTAAAATTAGACCAATCAGGCTACTAATTTTATAGTTCACTGGTCTGACAGGTGGTTAAACTGGTCGAACCAGCATTTAATTTATTAATTTTTAAATATATATGCAATACTTTATGTAATAAATTTATACATAGTAACATTAATAATCAAATATTTAGACAATTTAAAATATTGAACTGCTTAAATTAATTGATAAGTATTACATACATTTACATTATATTTGATTATATATTATTTTCATTTACATTAAAAATACTTTTAAATATATTAACATTTACTTTTTTTAACAAAATATTAACCATATCGATCGATGTATCCACTACAAAAAAAATGATGAAATTCCAACATAAATTTTAATGGAAATATATTTTAATAGATTTTAACGAAAATTCCAATAAAAATATTCCTTTGAATGAGTTTTTCATTGGAATTTCTGTTGGATTTCGATGATTCCAACGGTAGATTTTCCAACAAGTGTTGAAATAAAAATTCCAACAGAAATTGCATACTCCAACTGAAATTCCTATGGTAAATAATCCAGAAAAATAGCTGTTGGAATCATCAAATTTCATCTAAAATTCCAATGAAATATTTTTGTTGGAATTACCGTTGGAATCATTCCAACAGAAATTATACCATTGGAATATCTGTTGGAATTTCCATTGGAAATATATTATCGTAGGATTTTCCGTTGGAATATACCATTTTTTTAGAGCTCTGGTCGCTTTTTGGCCGGTTTTGATTAGTTTTGACCAATTCAACAAGTCGTTGACCAGTTCGCTGGCAACCAATTTTTTCTAGCGAACTAGGCCGATCAACAGACCAGTCCTCGGCCGGACCGACAATTCGATTTGATTTTGAAAATAATGTTAAATTTACAATATTCAAATAATGTTAAACAGTAGTGCTATGGAGCCAATGGTTGGCTCCTTTATGGAGCCAACAATTGGCTCCATAGCATTATTGTCAAATATCATACTTTAAAAATATAATATAATAAAAGTATGTTATATGTAATTACTTTTGAAAAAAAAAAGGAAATATGATGTATACGGTTTAACACCACTATTCTTGATTTCAAATAATTCTCCTCAAAAACTAGGGTCCTCGTGGGATAATTATGATTAGAAATCGCGATCTGGTCACTGCAACTAACTGAACGTTCGCGAACAAAAGCTTGTTCGAGCTCGTTCTTGTTCGACAAAAGCTCGTTCATTTGTTAATCGAGCCGAGTTCGAACACAAAATTAGGCTCGTTTACTAATCGAACGAACACGAGCTCGTTTGTGAACGTTCGATTATGTTTCCGAACATTAATTTAATATAATTTGTTTATATATATTTACATAATATTTTTATTAAAAAATCTAAAGTTCAATATAATTTAATCTATTTTCTATATATTTACATAATATTTTAATAAAAAATATAATATATAAAATTATTTTTATTTTATTCTTTTCTTTTCGAGTTCGAACGAACAAATTTCGAGTTAATCGAACGTATTTAAAAAGTTAATGTATTAAATTATTCGAACACGAAAGAACTCGAACTTTGACGAACAATTAACCGAACGAACTCGAACACGATTTTTTGCTCGAAAAATAAACGAACGAACACGAACACTGTTCGAACGTAAACGAACACGAGCTCGAACAGCCCAAGCTCATTTCGATTCGGTTCGTTTACAGCACTAACTGCAACAATACAATACTTACCACAAGAATCCCATGTTGCAGCAGAACCGGAGTGCGAGTCGGGCTTGCCGGCCCGGCCCGGCCCTGAGGAATATTTTGAACGCTTAGTATGTATCCATCATTAGTTGTTACCTGGAGACACATATTGTCAACAATCAAATTTTCCATCAAACTCACATCTTACAATTAGTGATGCGGATAATTAATAAAAAAAAAATAATCTTCTTTCGATCATCGGGCTTCTTACGTGATATTCTCGGCACTTGTAGCCATGTACGGTGACGGCAGCAGAGCAAATTCCGTCCGGTGCCTCATCATCATCGTCGTCGGCCGGGTGAAGGGAGAGGCGGCGGCTTGAGACGAAAGCTTGGTGAGGTAGTGAGAGGAAGCCCAAAAGAGCTATAATTTTTAGGAAGCTTTTGGTGTCCATATATAAAAAGCTGCTGTGTTGTTGGTATTTGGACTGCAGCTAGCTAGCCTATATATATATATATAAAGAGAAAATAAAGGGAATGTGAACTTGGAGACCAAAAGAGAATGGGTACATGTTGACGTGCGAACATTTGGATTTCAAATTTTTCATTATCTTTCGTCTCTGTTTGCTGTCTTTTGTTGTTTTCCGTTAGAGCCAAAAATCTTTCAAACAACAAGAGCAAAGTGTACTGTGTACATGTTTTCCATTATATTTCGTCTCTGTTTGCTCTCTTTTGTTGTTTGCTTTTTTTTTTTTTTTTTTTTTTTTTTTTTTTTTTTTT